TTATCATTATCTCCCCGTACACCGTTGGGGTTAAATTGGCCTTCATTCCACATAATTCTATTAAGCTCTCCCAACAACGGTTACAGCCTTTATTTGTAAATTAAATTTTAATTATACTTAAAAATTAAATAAATTTAAAACTACGCCCAGAGTATTGCTCAGGCTTAATAGCTAGAAACTAAAAACTAATATTTAAAAAGTTTAAAAACTAAATAAAATTAAAACTGCATTCCCGGAGCATCGCCTGGGCCTGAGAGCTAGTCGGCAATTCTACAATTCTACATTTGTAGAATTGTAGAATTGTCGATCATTAAAAGCACATTATGCATAAAAGTTACGTTTTTGATGTATTGTAATTCCTAATGTAAATTTATAATTTCGCAATTAATTTAGGGTTTTTTTATAAAGAAAAGTCGACTATACTATACTTGTTAGGCGAAACCTTTTCCGAATGATGATAAATAACAAAACTTAAAACTAGCAAAGTCATCATCAAATAACGAAGCTATTTGATGATAATGCAATTACAATCAAAATAACTGAATTATCCTGTTGGTAGGCCACTCTAATTTAATTCTTTGTTTATCATAACAAATTCGAAAATTTTTTGGAGGTAGTGTTCCTGAACCGAACCGAACTTGGGGTAAGTTCGAACCTGAACCTGAACTATAACAAAAAATGGTTCAAGTTCGATACTGAACTTTTAGCATGTGTTCAGTTCAGATTAAAGTTCAGTTCGAAGATTCATGAACTTATTCAGGAGTTCGGGTTGGACAATTCATAGCATTGCCTCCAGAAAAATTGTTAGTCGAATTTTTTTGATTTAAATAGGTACAGTTTTAAATTGATCACCGGTGAGTTTATAATGCTTGCTTAAACGTTCGTTTTGACTTCACTCATCTAAGTTAAAAAGTTGACACGAGTAAAACAATAAATATGCGTGGGTCATTTATTCTAAGCACTTAGATTAATAGGACGTAGCATAAAATTATTGTAACGAACTTATATATTCTAATTTTTAGTGATTTTGTGGGTTTAGATTATGAGCACTATTATAATATACGGTATAAACCAATTTCGCCGACAACCATTTCGCCGACAAATTTTGACCCGATTTAGTTAAGGTTGGCCTGCTTTATTGTTAATGTTGGCTGGAGATTGTCGGCGAAGTGGTTGTCGGCGAAATGGTTGTCGACGAATTCTACCAAAACCATATTTTTTATATACTCTAAGCATGGTTTTGCTATGCAACAACCCATTTGATTCTTTCCGGTTAAATTAGGCTAAATAAGTGACTAATGGGAGATAGAATAACTTAAGGTGCAACAAAAATTTTTTTGCCATATTCTAGACTATACTTACAGACTAATTTAATATAAATATAAAGAAATGGCTTATTTTAACTACACCCATATAATCACTGGCTAAATTAAAAGCGAATGAGTACTATTTTTAGCAACGGCAGTAATAAGATGTAAATACCAGGGCCTCATATAGCCGTAGATCCACCCACTTATTTCCCTGCAGTGGAAAATAAGGATGTTATTTTTATTTGTATAATGTCATGATGGTGGATCAAATAATTTGTAGCAGTGATTTATTTTTTATTTTTTTAGGTCTATGGTATAGTTTTTAAAACAGGTATTTAACATTCTCTTACCATATAATTTGTTATTCATCTATTGTTGTACAGATTTGGCCATCGTGGTAAAACCAGTAAATGGCATAACATTCAAATTTATCACCATCATTGATATTTTATACGCTTTGTAGGATAATCGATTTACTCCCATAGCCATGAACTTATATTTTTAATATTCAACTAAATTATTAATTCGAAATAAATTAAGGATGTAAGTGTAACTTATTTTTCACATGAAAGAATGATTGGCAAAACGTACAGGACACTCGTGATGGATGATAATTTATTATAAGAATATATATACGTGATAATTTTAGAGGATTAGACAATGATAATAAATTTAAAATTTTTAAATCTGAACAAGAATTAGATATACTTATCTAATATTTTACGTAAATAAAATGATTATCCAGATATTTACAGGGCTCATTAAAATATGCCTACAAAAATTATGTGTGCATGCCATTGCTATAATAATAGACAGGTTTGAAAATAATAATTAATATGTTGGTGTAACTTATGTGGCATTTAATTAGTCCAGTCACATACTGATTGGTCCTAATCTCCACAATAGTCGGTAAGAATTTTTTACAGTAATTCACTATTACTATAGAAAACTGATATAACTGTATCCAAATTACTTGTAACACCGTAGTGAAAAAATACAATAACCAAATTTTTTACAGTAAATCAGTATAGAAATCGCATTCATTCCAATACCAAACTAACATAACTATATCTAAATCACTAGTACCATCACAATAGTCTTTAAGAATTTTAATAGGAACTTAGTATAGAACTCGTGTTCAAATTTTTTACTCAAAAGTTTATGACTGTTATTGGACCCGAACTTTCAAACATGTTTGCAAACTTTTGAACCGAACTCAAATCGAGCCTGAACCAAGCCTGAAATTTGATATTCAAACCCAAACCAAACTCAGCTATAAAAATAGTTTGGGTTCAAGTTTGATTTGAATTTTAAACCCGAACCCAAACCTCTCTAAAATTTGATTCAGTTCGGGTTTGTCAGAGCCCTACGTTTGGGTAAATAAAATTAGTTAATCACATAAATATCTTTCTATCATAGATTCACCTTTATCTTAAACCATCAAAAAATTGACGGTTTGATAGAATTATTGATATTACTTATCACTAATACAGTTCAGACCTCTCTAAGTCCTTTCTAAGTGCACATCCTCTCTAAATGCACGCTCAAACGCCAGCCCAACATATACATGACCTCCATAAATGCACTTTTTCTTATTATTCTCTATTTGCACGTTATTAAAGTGTGGTTCCAAGGGCGTGCACTTAGAGACGTGACTGTATATAGAGTTTGGAAAAATAGTTTGCATTTATTGTATAATGGAGTGTTATATTAAACCTAAATGCAAATAGTCAGTATGTAAATCCATCAAATAGGTAGTACTGTACATGTGATAGGAGGTTTACTGTATTCTAAGTCTCTTTTTGAGTATTTTTATTATTTATTTTTTATATTTTGTGTATTAGTATGCAGTCAGACCTCCCTAAAACCTCCCTAAGTGTACGCCTTTGAGACCACACTTTACCGTATTTTCGCGTAATAACGCACACCTGTGCGTTATTTTGAGTACCTGTGCGTTATTTCGGGACGCACATGTGCGATATTTCGGATCAATATTGCCAATAATTTAATAGACATGTGGGCTATACAGTCAGACCTCTCTAAGTGCACCCTCTACAAGTGCACACCCTCTCTAAATGCACGTTCAAGTGCCAGCCCAAATATATACATGACCTCCATAAGTACACCCTTTCTTACTATTCTCTATATGCACGTTATTAAAGTGTGGTCCCAAGGGCGTGCACTTAGAGAGGTCTGACTGTACTTATATTTATCGTGCAACTCTTAGAGGGGTGCGTTATTTCGGAACGCACATGTGCGTTATTTTGAGTCAAATAGGCGATTTTAAAAAAAGTGGCAATTTCGAAATAACGCACATGTGCGTTATTACACGCAAATACGGTTAATAACGTGCATATATAGAATAATAAGAAAAAGTGCATTTATGGATGCTATGTATATAAAGTCAGACCTCTCTAAGTGCACGCCTTTGGGACCACACTTTAAAAACGTGCATATAGAGAATAATAAGAAAAGTGCATTTATAGAGGTCATGTATATATATGAGCTGGCACTTGAGCGTGCATTTAGAGAGGGTTTGCACTTGTAGAGGGTGTACTTAGAGAGGTCTGACTGTATATACTAAAACTAATAGCCAAATTATTACTCGAAATGATATTAGTACCTATAAATCGTTATCAAAATTTTTTTTTCATGAATTTTATTATATAACAAGATTGGGAATAGCCAGAAAATAAACATCAAACAAAAAAAATCTTATAAGCGTTAAATAACAAAAGTATAACTATGATATTCCTTATTGAACATTTTCATTGAAAAATTTTTCATATCTACTCGATGCCAGATGAAGTAACACAGAATTCTTGCATAGTCTCATAAATTCCAATGATACCATAATATTGCACTTGCCTTCGAATTCTTTCATCGTTTCATAGATCTGTTTTGTGCAGTACTCTGCGATTTTGGAAAAATCATTTGTTTGGAAAAATTGATCTACCGAAGAGAGCTCTCCATCATTCTTCTCACGAAGACATGAAGCGAGTTCATTAAGATAGAACTCGAACATCTCGAATGTAGTTTGCAATGTTCTGTATTCCAGATAGGTGCAGTTGATATCTCTCAATATAAACATCATAAGGATGACTACGTAGGCCGCGTGAGACTTGATCTTAAAGATGAGGTATTCGTTCTTATTGAACTTTGCTTGCAACTGCTAATTCACAGCAGACACCCACAAAATTGCTTCAGTTCGTATTAAATCATATTTCTCTTTAAATTCGTTCTTCCAGAGACTCATGAACTTGGATAGCATCTCAGATAATCGAGGTGGCAATTTATTTTCTCTACTTTCCAAACCGCTGATAACATCAATGTAGTCAATTCCCCTGAAAACCATCAAATCGTCGAAAACAAACAAGAAATAATATAATGCTTGAACGGCAGGAGTATCGCGAAAGTCAGAAATAAGAGACGAGATGAGCCTCAGATCATTTACTGTAACATCTAGAGTGTATTCATCAATGACACGTTGAGTAGTGGCGTCAATATCATCATAATAATTTAACGTGACATCAACAGATCGGTTAATCCCGAAGAATTCCAAGAGTCCCAAAATTGTTTTGCTGTCTTTTTTAGTGTCGTCGAATACAAAGAGTCCCAAAATTGTTTTGCTGTCTTTTTTAGTGTCGTCGAATACAAAGTTTTAGTGATCATAGTGCTCATATTGGTAGTGGTGATAATGAATAATTACAAGAAAAAAGAAAGTACGTACAGTACATAGGTAAAGGAAAAATTCAGGTGGTATTTATAATTAAAACTAAGGCATATTGGCATAATCAGAGGTACCGAAAATTTAATTACAACCAACTAACACGTGAGAGATAACCTAAATATGTCATTTTCGGTAACGAATTTATTTTAGTATACATAGAATAATTGCTAATAAGTACGTATCATTCTTGGCATATTATTTCTATGCAAAATGGCCGAGAATTCTTGATCTTTCATTTTATTGAGATTGATAATTTAAGAAATATCTTAATTTATGCATATCTCTATACAAAGAGATTGAGTAAATTTCCCGCACCGTACGGTGCAAGAAATTAAAAACCTCAACCTCCCTATATAGAAATAATATATAAACCGGTGATATATTGCAAATAAATTTCTAAAATTATCGATCTCAATTGAGTGATGGGCATATATATAATACGCCAAGAATAATCTATCTATTTATCTATATAATTCAGAAAAGCTGTGTATTTTAACGGTTTTTATTTGCTGTTGCGATCTGCAAAATTTAGTCAATGATGTGTGTTATTTGCAAAAATTTCTGTCAGAATAATTCGGTAATTATGTTATAATTGCATAGCTGAATGTTATCGCATTGCATGATTGTGGGGTGGATATATAATATATAATATATATACAGTCAGAACTCTCTAAGTGCACGCCCTTGGGACCACACTTTAATAACGTACATATAGAGAATAGTAAGAAAGGGTGCATTTATGGAGGTCATGTATATATTTGGGCTGGCACTTGAGCGTGCATTTAGAGGGTGTGCACTTGTAGAGGTGCACTTAGAGAGGTCTGACTGTATATATCTATATCTATATAATTTAAGCGAGAAGTTGTGTATTTTAATGTTTTTGATTGGTCGTTACGAGATACGATATTCAGGTAATTTGATAAATTGGGTTATCGCTATGCATTTATGACATAATTACTGAATTATTAGCGTTAGGATATAACTATGCAATTATGACATAATTACCGAATTATTATGACAGAGAAATTTAAGCAAGAAGCTGTATATTTTAACGTTTTTGATTAGTCGTTACAAGTTATGATAAATTGGGTTATCGATATGCAATTATCCCTTAAACCGTTTGAAATTCAGGGCAAATTTGCCCTGAATTTTACTATAAAAATACTTCTGATCTATTTTT